CTCTCTCTCTCTCTCTCTCTCTCTCTCTTTCTCTCCCGTTATTTACACTCATAATGTTATTTATAACTACCGAAGGAAACAGAAAGAAATAATTAGAATGCTTAAAAATAAACGTCCCATCTAAAATTCACCATCTATAAATTACCATCCCCTTTAGCAACCTATTACCCCCAAAATTCTTGATTTTTTTCTTTTAACCTATTTCGTTGCTTTAACCTCTCTAATTTTTTACCTCTTTCAACCTTCTACCAATTTTCTCTCAACACTTTCAATCTTGACGTATGTAGTTTTTCAATTTTTAAATTAAAAATCAAAATAATTATAAAAATAACCTGGAAAAAGTTGCTTATGTTAGAAGTGTGTCAATTTCATGCATCTAATAAACGAGCGAACGAGATGCGACGTATCGGAAAATAATTTAATCGATAAGCGCGAATAAATTTTTCTTTCGTAAATCCAAAATTACAAAATTATAAGATTTTATCAGACTACTTTTTTTGGGTAAAATTTTTATTTATTATTTAGATTTATTTTAACTATTTTTACATTTTTTTTCTTTTATTTTTCTCACGTAAATCCTGAGACATTTAACGACATCTTGAAAAAAATCAGTATAAATTATTCATGAAATTTAATCGATAATCGTCAGAAAAATATATTTTTTTGCCAGAAGAATAAAACTACTCTCGCGCTAGCGTCTATTAATTTTTATATAACTGATCTAGAAGCTTTCTTTTCCTTTTTTCTTTTTTCTTTTTTACCGCGATTCAATTTTACTGCACCCACGTTTATCTCTTTATTCTTCTCACGTAAATTGCATTCGTTATTTTTTAGTTACTTTTTATTGTCCTCCTAATTCCAAGATTGTTTTGACAATCATAGCGAGTTTGTTTGCTGCACGGAATGCAAATTTTTTGCTATACCATTGGGAATAACAATTGGATAAAGAGAGAAAAAAACAGTTTATATTTTTGATATATAAATATTTGTTGTTATTTATCAATAAAAAAAATTGTCACACCTGTCTATGGAGATTGCTACCAAATTGAAGATGGAACTTGTACTGCAGGTTACGTCCATTGCTATATAGAAGTCGCAAACGAATCCTGGCAAACTCCACGAGCCTGAATTTACCTGTAATATAGAAATTTTGTTTTATTATAATGAAATATATTTTAACTTACGAAAAAGCAAAAATAACTTGGGAAATTTTTTGTATCACGCGTCGTTTATCGTACGAGAGTTTGCAAGGTACTTTCATCGATCGTGAGAAGGAGACGTTTTAAATATTTTTGTAAACAAAAAACGAAATATTAAAAAAAAAATATATTGTGACTGGAGTTCAGACGTGTAAAAAAAAAAAAAAAAGAAATGAAGAAGACGAATTTCAAAAAGAAAATGGAAAATGAAAAATTTTATCATATAAAATAAAGTAATAAGAAATTTGGAAAAGATTGGAAATGCAAATTTGATCCTAAAAGAGTGGAGAATTTGGAGAAAAAAAAATTGGAAATGTAAACTGTCATTTTTTTCGAAAAATGATACTTTTTATATGCACATACATATGAAAAACTAAGTGGAATAAACAAATTTGATGGCACTTAATTCTATTAATAGATTTTTCGTGTCCCGAGCGTGTCCACATCAGTTGACGAATAACACCTACTCGTCATCATTTTATGTATGTACCATATTTTCCCGGCAGAAAATTTATTTTCGAATTGTTCAAGTCACAATCCGGAAAATCAATTGTGAAATCACTGGTGCATAACCTCATGCCAATGCGTAAGAAAAATATTATTCTAATACGTTCCACATTTTATTAAAATAATTTCAACTATTGCGTAAAATATATGTTGGCTAATATATATGTATACATATATTTAAAAAGTTAAAATGTATTTATTAAAATGTTAATTGTTAAAATATATTTATTAATTAACAGTTGTTACATATACTTTTTATATTAATTGTCATTCTCCCCATATTCTCTACATGCACGCGTAATTTATTGATTTTCGAAGAGCTTATTATAGAAAATAATAATATGCTTGGAATATATTGAATAGCTAACTATCTACAACAATATAACATCGAAGTACTATTTATATATATATATATAAATTATTTTACCTTTTTTTATTTAAAATAATTATTATTTTTAATAAAAGTAAAAATTGTTATCTTGGATTCGTAATTAACAAATTATTTGTCATTTTACAACGAATAATATTTTTAAATTATCAACATATTGAGTTACATGGTGTTTATCGAAGACAGGAGACAGCTTGCAAATTGTCTATTATTTTCCACGTTTCGTTTTCCTTAAAAACACTGCAAGATAAAACCTTTCTCTCTTTTTCTTCCTTTCCCTTTCTCTTTCAATTTAGGAATACATTCAACTTTATTTAGCAATTTAGTCGAATTTAAATCTTCCTTTGCCTCCATATATACATACGAGTTTACATAGGCAACACGAGGAACGCGACACCGAGCTTACCTATTCCACACTCTGATTTATACTAACGTAACATAGCCACCGTACGAGTCAGTTTACATCTTGTAGGAAACCTACACGACTAGGCCTTCCTTCTCTATATTTCTACGAAGAAACATACCATGTTTGTATTCTATTTCGTCTACAAGGTCTCAGCGTACACATTAGACCGTCACTTTCGAAAATTTAGTCTTACTCGTAAACATTGCACCATACGTAAATTTAAGTATAAATTTACGTATATACGCTTGAAGTATTATTATTTGGTTTCTAATTGTTATTATTAATTAATTAAAATGTTTTTCTTCAAATTTTTATTATTGCATTTAATTAAACGTAAATAAAATATTATATTTCTTAAAACTAAATCAAGGAATCATTTTTTACCTTAATAACAAGGTGAATAATAAATTAAAATATTAGAACATTTTTAATAATTAGTCGACAACAAATTTGTTTAACATCAAATTTTAAATCTTTTGTGTGTAAAAATATAGGAAAATGGATTTAAGAAATTTGCTTACACTACCTATTATATAATTTTGATAATAATTTTTTAAATAGTTCAATTCCTACATGAATATGTCATTTACTAAAAATACAAATTTTTTTAAACATCAACTCATATCACGCATCGAACAATAATATCCAATACTTAATCCTAATGATGGACTGTTGCCAGTGTCAAGCATTTTCGATTGGCTATCGAGGTTTTCTAGTTTAACGAGGGAAACGAGTTGATCGCGTGGATTTACGAATACTAGGAAGCTTCGTTAATTATGTGCTTGTTACTGACATGACCCTGAGGCAAAGTATTAACGTTACTTCCTGTTTACGTCAGTAGAGAGTTTAGGACAAAATCAAGCGACCTGTGTTTCGTGAGGATATAACCGAAAATATAACCGAATAATGGTAAATGAGTAAAGGTTGCTTGCCCAAGTGAATAGCTTGTTTAAGTATCTTGTACTGACCCATAGGACACCATATTCTTGCCTCTCTCTCTCTCTCTCTCTCTTGCCTACTCTTCTCATTTTCCCCTACGTTCATCATGCGATAATTATACCATGTAACATAGGTAAAGCAACGTTGATAACGTTGTTTATTTAGAAATTACAGGAGTATGAATTCCTTCATTGACAAGAGAGACAAATTATCGATCGACGAATAAATTTAACCATGCCTCGTTTAATTTATTAGGGAAAATACTACAACCCTCATAAGTTTTGAATTAAAAAATCTTTATACATTATGAAACAAGTCTTGATACTACTATTGTTGATAATAAATGGTTAACAAGAATTAGTTTCGAAATAGAATGGAAGAGAGTTAAAGGGATAGGCTGAACTCGTAGAAACCAATGAACAATAGAAACATCCGAGTTTAACGAATTGTCCGAAATCCCTAAAGTAAGTACCGTTAGTCGGAATCACTATTCCATCCAAATAATTCTATCAATGGGAATAGATTAATTGCTGACACACATAGTAGGTGTCTCCCTAGCTGTAATTAATTCGAATACAATGTTATTCCAATAGGAAGAAACAACAATAACAATAACAACAACATCAACAACATCAACATCAACAACAACAACAACAACAAGGGAAATAAGGAATAATGTTTAGGGGACCACAGTTGGTAAGTTTTCCCATTGAATTTACTATACTGTTGGTGGCACTTATACTAATCAAGCTTTGTCTTGATCTTTCTCCTTTCGTCTATTATTCTAATCTCATTCTAATTCTCTGTTACTAAGGGAAACCCTTTTCTAATCAATTTGATCTATTTGATATAACGTATTGAACTTTATAATTCGCAGAAACTGATGGAGTGTTTAGTTATATGAGGCAATGTATGCTAAGTAGAATGTGCATTTGAACATTAAGGATATGCAAGTGGATACAATGATACTAATACCAACTTACATTCATGAGTAATATGTAGTACTTGACTACGTTGAAGTATCAGTATCGAGTGCCTAATCGATATTTGGAGACTGCCGTTTATTTCTGTAAGATCTTAAGCACTATATAGATGGATCTTAACTTTAATTCTCACATATATTATATAACATTTGTATTTGTACATTTGAAGTAAAAATATTTAAAAAAGGTATTTTAATATTAAATTTTTACTAATTAATAATATATAGATTAAATTTGAAATATTATATATACATAAATAATATCCAATTATAGACCCAATTAAATACAAACAATAAATTAATAATATTTGTCAGATTCATTTTAAATTATTAGATTTCAATTATATTATTACTTTAGATTGAAATGTATTTAATTGTTTCGAATCAATTTGAATTTGATTACGAATGATATTTTATTATCGATTATTAATTATTTTACTAATGAAACAGTGACTATCCTTAACGAGACTTCTTACAAAATTCCATAATGTTACATTTTCAATATTGCCTGTAGTAACTCATCAAGAAAGACATGCTAAAGGGTTCTTTATCGTTTAATATCTAAGAGAAGGAAATATCCGTGCTGTAAAACGCGTTCAACTTTACTCACTTTAATATTTAGTAGTTAACTTTTGCGTTAAAAAGATATTGTCGGAAAGGTGAACATTGCGTTTACATTATCGCAAATCATTATTTGAATATTGATAAGCATTCCCAATAAAATTATCATTCAAAGTAGTATTGTGTTTATTCGTAAGCTTATTGTAATTTGTTATCTTCTTTACATACAAAATGAAAGATCGTCTCAAAAAAAGCTTAATAAAATCTGATTATTTTCATTAAATCAAATATATTTTATTTTATTTCGATATTTATTAAGCCCTTATTTTTTGTAAGAATTAATCAAACTAATCGAATATACCATATATTTTCTGTTGTTTTTTTTCTAGTTCACGGTAAGTAAACACAAATTATTTTTCGTATCGATAACCTTGGCTTAGATTTTGAAATTCCTTATTTTTGTTAAAGATCAAGCAGATACATCGAATATCATGTCGTACGTTTAAACGGATAGCAGAGCAGCTATTAATTCTCGTATCGAGCGGCTGTAGTACACCTAGCGACTCATCCCTCGTAATCCAATGACGCGCGATATAGGATCCAGGATCCAGGATCGTAGAAATGGGATGCTGTTGCTAAAATTGATTTGATATTGATATAATCATAGAAGTGAAATAGGGATACAAAGGAGAACTGGTGTTGATTGAATTATTCGTTTAAATATCAATAACTCATTGACGCATAGTGTTTCCTTTATCACGTAATTAATTCACGAATAGAAATGATACATCACATGGATCTATTAGAAAAAATTATAAAAGAAGAAAATAAACATATGGTATAGTATACTAGTAATAGTATTATATAATATAATCTGATATAAAAATTATTATTAAATAATATAATCAATATTTAAATAATAAGTATCCTGTTTCACAGAGTAAGAGAATGTTGATTATAAATTATATAATAGTTAAGCTATATAGTAAAATCCAATGGATTAGTGATTAATATATTACATTATTTAAATCTTATAGTATACAGTAGTTAACAAGAATACAATGCAACATATTGAAACTAAATATAAATAATAATTTACTCCAGTAATAGCTGATTTCATGGAACTGTATTCTTATCCGTAATTTTAGTATT